TCACCTTAAACGAAATTGGATGAATACATCTCATATTACTGATTTACTGGTAGTCTCGAAACAATACTTAGATGCAAAAAATAATAATTTAGTCTTTGATATCACTTAAATGAAAACTAATGAATCACATGTTTTAAACTTGAGAGGCTTATTTATCTCTCCTAGTCTTTCCAACTATTATGACATTATTTGCACAGGAAATTCTCAACCTTCTGTCCGGAAGGTCGAGCAGCAACTAACCCACAACTGGTCTGATTTCGAAGAGACTGAAGTACCAAATTTGTCACCGTCATGCAGGACCTCCAATCATAAGTGGCCGCCCTCGCAACGCCCTCTTCCTCCGCTACCCCTAGCAGCCAGGCCTATTCAGTATCCGCCTACACGAAAAGCACCATCACCACCTTCGGTGCAGTTGTCTCCAAGGCAGGCCACCCCACCGCCTCCTCCTCGTCTGTTACCCGTAGCCCAATCGTCCTCTTTCGTCCCCAAGTCGACCACTTTCACTACTCTCACTTCACAATCTCCGGAGCAAAGTGATGCAACTGCTACCCCACTCACAGAGACACCAGTTGGTCGAGATGTGCTAAAGCCTCACACTCTATCAGAACATTTCATTCAGGCGGGTTTACCGAATGAAACCCAAATCTCAACCTCTTCGGTCAGTACACACCTGTCGCAGGTCTCGAGTTCTGATGTTGGTATGGGCCAAGTGTCTACAGCAGAGATGGAGGGATTTGTAAGATTCCGCATCCTATTCTTTTTTTTTGATCTGCATGCTATCCTTTTTGGTTAAGAGAAAAAAGCCTGACTGATTGGGTTAACAAACTCGACGAACTCGTTTCCACTATTCTTATCTTGCTTGTGACTTCGGCATTTCGCCGTCTTGTATTACCTTACAATGAAAGAATGCAAAAAGGGGGCTGTAAGATCAAGATTGTATGGTCTCTGTTTTGGTCGTGGTTTACTTAGGCTTTATTGGAATTGTATGGCCTCGTTTTTCAGGACGATTTCTAAGAAAATACCTTGGCTGTGTCCTCTGCTATATTGGTCAGTGGCAAACCATAAACTTTGTTACGTACCAAGTGTAGTCGTTAGCATAAACTTGGTCGTAGAGACGCACCAGAACCAAGCATCGTTTCGTTTTCAGCAAATCCCCACTGTGTTATCAATTCATACTTCCATCAGCATGCTTGACACTCAGTCAAGCTTCTTCCCCTTCTCTGCTACTACAGTTTATAAAGTTTTCTGAAGTCTGCTAGATAGTCATACCAAGTTGCAGCTGGACATTTTTCGAGACATCTTTAGATGTACAGAAAAATTTGAAAGAAATTTTTTTGACATTCCCAATATTCATTTTTTACGCATGAAAAGGAGTAAGCTGCCCAAATTGCTTTTCTGGATGACTCATTGCTAAGATGGCTCGTCTAGATGCGATATTTTCTGGTTTACAAAGATACATTAAATCTGAAGAGAAGCTGGTTCTTGAAGAATCCCTTAATAGCTTGATACTGGCGTACCTTTCAGTTCGATTGAGAAGGCGGGTCGAAGGTATTCGTAGATTGGCCTCATCGGATTACGCAATCCGAAGACCTCGGATCAC